CTGATGATGGTGTGGTTAGTGATAAGACGTTTCACAATGGCTCAAACGATGCATAGCACTAAAGAAAATAATAATTCTAAAACGCATGGAACAAAGACTTAGTTTGAATGTTTGTTCATCTAGTAAAGGACAATTACTCTTTGCTAAACCACAACTCCAGATAAGACAATATCCTATTTCTGTTTTCAAGAAATATTCACTTCTGAACTTATTTCTTTCAGGCATGGAAACATTTCTCTACCATTGAAAGAAAAGGCGTATTCAGAATTCGACTTTTTTAAAATTTCAAACCATATTCCTTTTTAAAAGGTTCAAGCTATCTTTGCTGTCACAAAATAAATGTACCTTTAATTAACACCCACATTCCCTTAGGGAGATTATTGTTATATAATCACCTTAACTATTTAACACAATTTCCCTTTTGATTGCATTGTCATTCAGATAGGTAAAGACTACAGCAAACTCAATACTTATGTTATTCAAATACCTTAACTGAACACGTCAGAGAAGACACGAAAGTGCTTTCTAAAATAATTACACACATTTAAATGCAAAATTTGTTTTGAAAATAAACCTTGGTTCTCCAGTTATTGTCTTTGTTTACAAATAGACCCCGATGGCGAAACTATTCAGACTGCCCTACAAGTTGTGCCTAACATTAAACTTCTCGCCGATTACATTTTCTTCTGGTCCGTTTAGGAATGTGTAGTTAAAAAGCAAGTACACACAAGCACGAATACACCGAGGGCATTTCATAGCTATTTAAACATTAATATCTATCGTTCATGGCATGTAAATTATTTCCAACTTGTGGCTGTATTGTACATAGAGTACAAAAGTGCCTGTTTAAACACAACAAAAATTAAAGCTCTAAGACGTTTTCGGTAACGAAATATAGCAACATTAGCGCAAACGTATATTACAAGTTTTAACAGTTAAGTAGCATACTGGGCAGAGCCAGACGAGGCAAAACCGTACCTGTCACAAGTGTTAAAAGATCCTCTCTTCTCGTTTTTTGTCTGAGCACGAGAGGAAAAGGTGTCCGCAAACAAACCTGCAAACGAAAAAGAACAACAGCGAACTTAACCACTTGCAGTCGAAACTAAATTGGCGTTGAATGCTTGCACACTAAGTCTAATAACAGATAACAATCATGTAATGTTACCTGCAAAAATAATGGAGAGCTTGGTGAAGTCAACAAAGCCTTTGGCAAGCTACAAACTGTGCGCCTTATTAAATATTTTCATGTACTGCTGCTATTAGGGCTTTTCAAAATACACCACCCATTGAGCGACATAATACGACTTCTGCTGAGATTGTTTATGATTTCAGCTCTTCTGTCGGAAACGACTGGAAATCAGTCAGATTATGCCCTGATAACACATTGGGTGCTGAGTGGTGAACAGGAATACAACAACCGAGCTATAAAGTGTCTTCAATTAAAAATTGTAGTCTATTGTTTTGATAAGTTCCTGCACTTCACTATTCGTTTTCAAACCTCTTTAAGCCCTAAGTAACTGCAAAAGAAAAACAAAATCCTACCTGAGCACGCAAACTAAGGAAGGGACAAGCGCTTTTAGCCGTCAGCTTGCGTTTTATTTAACAGACCTATCCTTATGCATTAAAACAATTTTAATCCCTTTGGACTCGCCACAAAGGTAAGACCTAATTAATGATGTACGCTTCTGCGAACCTTTGTAAACAAAATAAATGACATACTCACTCTATTGTAAGCGCTCGCTTTGAAGCCAAAAACGCAGGTCAAATTAGCTCTCAAAAAACAAACATTTTTATGAAGAAAAAACAACTATGGAAGGAAATTGCGGGAATGCTTTGAGTAACGATGTCAAAATGTTAAATTTTGTAAAACAGCTGTAAAACACATTCGTAGAATGGTTCTTTATGTATTTTGTCGACTTAAGTAAACAGTAAAGCTTTGAAAAAAGTCAAACATTGTACCTGAAATAAAACAGCACTAACCAAACTTGTAATTATTGTGCTCAACACAGTGGTATTTACATTCTGTCAAGTATTAGTCACCTTGTGATCAGTAAAATGGATCAAAGTTTTTTTCAACAATATTATCTATGGGTCATCTCGTCCCTTGTTTTAATCCATAATTTGTGCAGATATTCGAACTTGCTAGCAAAATCTTTTGGGCTCTAATTTTAGAGGTAATCGCTCTGCTGCTCTCATGCAAGGACTGATTTAATTAAGAATTCTTGCCTCAGTTTTCAACTGTACAATGATGTGTCCGTGACTACAACTGCAGGTCATGGAGAAAAGAAAAGCAAAATTGTATACCGAATACATTAAAAGTGCTTTCCAAGAGGGTCTAAACAATTAAAAATTCAATTTAGTTTAATTCTTGAATTTTTAAATGAAGCTACTTATTACAAAACTAATAAAAACTGGAATAGAAACCAACATGTATGACAGTACCTGGGGCAGTTGTTTTAAACATATCGTCTACAGCGGCAGTAAGGTAGTTTGTTTCCCTAGTATCAAGAGGCTCCGCCTACGCACAATGGCGGAAAAACCTTTGATGAAAATTACTTCAGTTTACAAATTCACCAGGTATATTTTAAGGCTACGCATGGAAACACAGCCTAGTGATTATATGACAAACAATGCTCAACATAAACAAGAGCAACATACTTTATCTCGATGAAAAATGATCCAGCAACTCATGCACATTCTGCCCTCATCAGCAACAGTCACATTTGCTTTATCTTCACTATTTGGGGTCAAGATTATCGCTCTCAGATGTATTGAAAACAGTAGGACTTAGAGATACCGTTAAAAACGTAAACTTGTTTCCCAAATTATCACGAACTACATCACGGCAACGAAAACCTAATCTGTTCAAAACTAGTCTCTGTTTACATCGGATTTTCCTTTTTGTTAACAAAATGTACAGGCCACATTGCTAATCTCTTGCACTTAAGAAAAACAACAACACTTTGTAATACTGGTCTAAATTAAAACTTGCTCGACAAATGATAACGTTATCTTACAAATAAAAAAACAGCCTCTGTTTACACTGAGTTTGCTATTTTACACACAAAGATAACGGCCTTTTCGCTCCCTTAATGGCCTTTCATTCTTTCACTGCTGTAAATATAGGGCTGGTAATAGTTTACACCTAAGAATGAAAGAATTCATCCAGATTAAATCTTAATGAAAGACTTTGAAATAAAGGTTGAATCCCCAAAAGGATGCTACAGCAATTAGCTGCCGTGGCTCAAACAATAAGCAGCTATTTTACATTCAATGAACTTGAAAAGAAAATTGTTGTCCTAGGTGATAAAAATCTAGGATGGCTACTTTCCTCTTTTGAACTTTGAAGGAGTGAAAAGAAACCGAGAATCGCGTCAAGCGACCTCAAATCACCTCGAGTTTAGCTGGCTCAAGAAGAAGATATCATATCAAGCAAAAAGGTAAGTCAATTTTGTTACATTCTTGTTATACTTAGATTCTAGTAGAAAACTTTATTGTTTTTACATATCGATCGCGATTGCAGACCGATAAAACAGCGCGACACGCGGCTATTCTGTAGTATCTTTAACTGTACTTTGTTGTTCCTCTTTCTAGTATTTAAATTCAGTTGTAATCAGATCAAATTTACGATTTCGAGAAAATACAAAAAAGACCCCAGTACGACAAAATAATAATTATTCACCTTAGTATTTTCGTCCCACAAAAGGTCGCTCGAATACTTTGCTCCATTAACACGGGGTTATACTCCGTGTTGTTGGTTAAGTTTAGAAGGCTTTCATAGAAGTAAACGATTTGCAACATTCCCCTGCGCAATTCCGTTGAAATTTAGGTTTGATTACAGTGCAAGAGGTTAATTAGATACTATACAAAGTAAACTAAAGGTGTGCAGATGTAAGATTCATCATGTAATATTCATCATTGTCTACGTCGTGTAAGATCGATTCCAGTTCATAAACTAAGATGAGGCGATGGTTTTGAAGAAGAATTTATCAAAAATTCACGATCTGTCTCGCGTAGCTTGTTAAACCAATTTTAAAAAAATCATTTATTGGAGTCACCAAGGTCAAGAGAATTTGGTGATGTTTTCCATTAAGGTTACAAACTCCAGACACTCCAACCTACCACAGTCATTCTTAGTACCACCTTCACCGGGATGATGTGACTGCACGATCGACTAAACTTAGATCAACATGCGCGCGGTAGTCACTCTCTCTCCCGTATTATTTCTTTCGTCTCCCCGGCCTACCTCACCTATCCAAGGTTTAACCTAAATCCCTGCCGTTCAACTTTTCTATACAATCATCTTATCACAAAGACCTTAACACACCGGAGTGTTGTAAAACAGTGCTAAACGGAAACAAAAATGTAGAAGTTTATACAGAACGAATCAAATCAAATTGAATTTTTGACACACAAAATTACGAGTGTCGAAGTGAAGGCACATTTCACCCACAAAAAGCTGTTATGCAGCGAACGCCTCAGGGCTTGGTTAGATTTAAGAGCGCTGAAGACCTTTTAATATCTAAACACAACATTCACTTCGGAAAATGAGTTTTCGACAGCTCATAAAAGGTAAAACGATTCATAGCGATCAATGAAACAAAATCTAAGGTGAAAGTCAAAAGAAAGAATCAATTTTATCCTTAGTTTAATTTATTTTTCAAGCAGAGACTTTTTAGTTCAGCGCCTGCCTTTCGTTTCCTGCTCATCTGTTATAGCTTCGTTTCGTTTGGTTTTCACACAAGTCAATAAACAACGTGATTTCCATCAACCTGTCCGCCGCCCTCACTCGGTGGATTTTCTCTAAGTACCTGTCGCCATTATGTAAACGCTGTCATGTCTAGGTTTTCTTTATGTGTTATTCACGGCATTCGATGATACTTTGAAAGATGAAAATTCCAATAAATTCCGCGTCTAACCTTTGAATGAGCGATCCGCGTGGCTCGTCACCAAATACCAGATGTGGAAATCATTCAACAATAATATTATTTACGGCTTGTAACACGCACACAATGAATGCTGTCCAAGTCCACTGGACTAAGTGAAGTTTATTTTTGAACAAATAGATTAACTGCGATTCATAAATTATTCAACTGACTTAAAGAAGCTTAATAAAAATTTAAAGTAGTCCTGTAAACACGCAAGTTGGACTTCTAGACATCAATTTCTAGAATCGTTTTTCCTTTCATTTAAATCATTATTAAACCACCAAAGAGTAAATATGTGCAATACTTTATCAGCAAGAAACGCAAAAGTTGGTGGGTCTGCAAGTGGCTTGGTAATAACTGACATTGCTTGCTTTCCCTAGACAATTGCTATGATATTCAAGAAATGTAACTATGGTGCACTGCCGACAAAGAACTGGCTAAATTATCTTTAAAAGCGTGACGGAAAACAGTGCGCAAACTGAAAATGCGTATCAAAAAAAAAAAAAGAAAAAAAAAACATTCTCGTCGACACTTTCAAAACTAAAATTCTAGCAATTATTTTTTATGCTTAATCATAGTAATTTCAACCGCTAGAATTGAGTAAGGATAAATGACTAAATCAAGTTTGGTTGAAAGGTAAACAAAAACCAGAACACATGTTTTTTTTAAATAAAGAATAAGTTTTTAGTTATGTTAGTTTATGTATTATATTCAAACAGTTATTCATTAGTTTTCAAGGATAAAGTTCCACGGGGGGATGGAAGCGGTAGATGAAGTTAGTTCGCATGCTATATACCAAACAGGCAAAACACGTACCCTGTTATTCACTTTCAACAAAAAAGCAAACTTTTACAAATAACCAGATACGCATCAAATCCTTAAAATATCTTCTAAGATGAAGGGAAGACAAACACCAAAAACTTAACGATATATTTCTTTCCTCTTAAGAAACCGTATAACTTTAGCCTAATAAAATTCATGGTGGTTTTCCTTAACCTTTGAATAACTGGTATCGTGAAATCCCAACCCAACATCTATCACAGGCTAGAACATGTACTCCTACTAGGCGTAACATTCTTCGCATGGTACATCACTGGTTGTACCCCTTTCCCCGCTAGATGGATAATGCTATAACCATTTCCTATATTCTTGTAATTGCAAGACAGCCGCTAACAAGCAGTTTCAATATGAAACAACTCCCACTCCGTGTAGTGAATCCGTCATTTGAGTTATTTATCTCAGACAGCACTTAAACATGTAAAGGAGATAATACCACATTCTTCTCGAGGTTCAGTTCTCCCGTTTGGAAATTATCGATTGTATATCGAATAAATGTCGATTATGAAACGTTAGAAACAAAACGGTAAACATATGATGTGGTGCAGCCCGAGTTCCCTGGGGATCATGGTTGGGATCCGCCTATTGTTATTCCATACACTATGGCCTTGAATCCAGTCCACGGACCCAGAATTTTCCTTTGTGCCACATCCTCGAGAATGAATGTTCTTACCATTAATTTCTATGAAAATCCCCCGAAAATTGGAAATGTGTTTTCAGTTTCAACAAACGCCAAAGATTAATTCTGATTT